GGAGTTTGAAGTTGCTGTGAGCTAGGCTGACACCATGGCACTCTAGCCCAGACAAGAGAGTGAGACTCCGTCTCAAAATAAAATAAAATAAAATAATAAATGTCTGGGCTCTTTGATCTGAGTCCCAGTGTAATCTTATGGATAATCACATTGAGCGACTCTCATTATAAGCTACTTTTCTCAAACATGGCCACAAAGTTGACCTCTTAGCCACCTAAGCCAGAGTGACTTCAGATGAGAGCCACAGCCTCCTTGCAGGCATCCCTGGGATCTTGGGGAGGAAGTGTTCGGTATGTCAGAGAAAATGCTTCAAGGCATCATGCACCCAACACTGGGGAGCTGATACTGAAGGCAAAAGAGCTCCGTGGCGACTGCAGGGAGGAGGGTAGACAGGACAGGGCCTCTCCTCTTCCACCCACAGGTGGCAGCATGTCCCGGGTGCTGGCCTGACTGACCAGGGGGCTGTGAGGGCCAAGCAAAAGCCTCCTCTGAGCTCTCCAAGGTGGGCAGCCTCGCTGGTGGCTGCCTTTGTCCCATTGCTCGGAAATGTCAGTCCTGCTCCCTTAACAGGTGGCCTTGTTTTAAGACTGGTGCTTTTGAGAAGGTCCCCGAAGCCAGAGCATACTGGTCTGAGTGCCGATGGGTTCCTTTGGATGTTTAGCTGCCCCCGGCTTGGCCTCACCTCCTCACCGATGGGTGGTTGCTGCTCTGGGAGATCCCTTCTCAGAAATGCTGCCATCTCCACTTGCTCCTTTCTCTCATAAGCCTCTAATTGTTTTGTTTTCCAAAAAAGCTTTATGGGAAGTTTTTCTTGAGATGGCGAAAAACCATATATGACCCCCTTTTCAGATAGAGAAACTTAGACCCCAGGGGCCAACTTGCTTGTATCCGATAGCTAAGCAGTGACCCAGCTGGGGATGGAGCTGGCCCAGGGGTGCCTAGACGGCAGAGACCGCACTCCTTCAGGCACCAGGAACACCCGCTGTGCCAGGTACAGGGAATTCAGTAGGGAGCAAAAGCAGATGGCATCCTCCCTGCCAGCCAGGTAGTGACCGGAAGTGACCCTCAGAGGTGTTGACTGCCGAGATGGCTGCAGGGACAGCTAGTCTAGTCTGGAGGGGTCAGAAGAGGACTTCCGTGCCTGAGTCTAGTCGGAGCTGGGGCCGTGCTGCAGGCAGCGAGGGCATCCTGGGCAAGGCCTGGTGGTCACAGCGCATGTCTTCAGATCCCGCTGAGCAAGGCAGGTAGAGGCGCATGCAAGTGTCTGGTGGCCTTTGACCTCCAAGTCTCATCCAGGCCTTTTCCTTTCAGAGCATATGACAACGTCCTCAAGGATGCCGTTGCAGTCAAGAGCCAGGCCTTGGCGATGGTACCTGGCACGCCCCCCGCCCCCACCCAAGTGCTATTCCAGCCACCCACCTACCCTGCCCTCGGCCAGCCGGCGACCACCCTGGCACAGTTCCAGACCCCCGTGCAGGACCTATGCTTGGCCTATCGGGACTCGCTGCAGGCCCACCGTTCAGGGACCCTGCTCTCGGGGGGCACAGGCTCATCTCTCCACACCCCATACCCCACCCTCCAACCCCTGGATGTGTGTCCCGTGCCCGTCCCCATGTCCCTCAGCATGCAGATGGCTATTGCAGCTGAGCCCAGGCACTGCCTCACCACCAGCTACGGAAGCAGCTACTTCAGTGGGAGCCATCTGTTCCCCACAGGCTGTTTTGACAGATAGGCCACCTCTGGACCAGACGGGAAGCCTTGGAGACCCGGGCAGAGGAAGAGGACATTGACGAGGAGAGCTCAGCCAAGTGAGGCTCTGGGAGGCCATCCCTAGAGAGCCTCGTTGCCCATGAACATGGAGGGTTCATACTCCTTTTGAATAAAACTGACCCAGAGTGAAACACTCAGTGACATACCTCACCCGAGAGCATTCCTCCGAAAGACGTCTTCCACGTGTGGCTGGGGTACAAAGGGATGGCTCGGGGGCCGTCCCCTCGAGCAGGGGCCCAGTGAATCAAGAAGGACTCGGTAAGAGGCCAGGAGACTGGGAACTGGACACAGACCACTAATCCACACGCGTGTCTGGTTTTTAGCATCAAAGACTTCTTTGCTCTTTGCGGATGGCAGCTACACCATTGAAAAAGGAGGGGCAGCCTGATGTGTTCTCAGGACCCCCTAAAAATGAGTATTGGGTGCTTTTCTTTTCCTGCCTCCTACAGAGGGGCCTGCGTGCGTGTTTATGCCTGAGCGTTGGCCTCGCGAGGCGCAGCGGGGCGGCTGTCTTGCCTTCATTGTCGAACCTAAAACTTTTCTCAGCCTTTTAGATATTTCATGTGCTGCTGCTTCCCGAAGTGATCTAGCTTTCTGTTCAGTAAGCCGTCTTGTTTACATACTGTATCAGGGATTTTTGTGATACTTGAAAATTCCTTAAGAGAAATAACAAATGTCATTGCAACACTGCCTGTCCCACGTGAGAGCTGTTAAGTTTTAACCCAGCTTGTGACTGACCTGCAGGTAACAACGGAATTCCCTTTTCAAAAGCATATGGTTGGGGAGAACCACTTTCTCAGCTCTTGGTTCCAGAAGATTCCACATCTTGGATGCTGTGTTCACCCGTAGAACTTTGATAACTACCCAAGGAGGGAAGAGCTTGTTGAAAAGGAGACAAAGGTTTGAAACAATCCTCACCTCCCTCCACCACGTGCTTGCAGTGCGTGAGGTTACACCCAGCCTCAGCTCTGAGTTTGGCTAAGAGTGAAGGATAGTGATGTGGAACATTTGCTTCATGCCACCTGGATTTGGAACCTGGGGATGTGCATGGATATACGACACCACCATTGATAGGCGATCGGTTGGATTGAAAGACAGTATTTAGGGATCTGCAGCAAGAGGGATCTCAGGAAGACTCTTGTAACCATGTGCAATATGTTTTCATTCTGACTCATGGCTTGTGCTCAGCATGTTCTTTCTTTTGGTTAGTTTGGGGTCAGGGGACACATTGTTCACCCATCAGAACTGGGAGGTGCAAAGGACCACGGAAACGATGTTTGTTTTTTTTAAGAAGAACCCATCTTGGTTTTCTTGGGTCTTATGCCGGTCTAGAAGACTGTGGCGGGGGACTGCCGGGAAGGCAGTAGCGTGCTGCTGAGTCGGATCCGAAGGTGATGAAGCTTTTTTCAGAGCAGATGAAAAGTCTCAATGTGGAAACAGAGTGAGAGAAGAGACTGGGCGTGGATAAGGCGCTGCCCCCTGTCACACTAGCATAGGAAAGTGCTCATTAGTTTGTTGTTTCTTCTTTTTCCTTTGCCAACCTCCTCCTATTTATGTGCAACCGGTTTGGATTCCAGGTTATTGTTTCTGTTTGTTTGGGGGCTGGGGGCTCATGAAGGGCCCCCCAGTAGAGCCTCATAGCCAACATGGCCCCCAGAAGAAGGCATCCTGCAATAAACATATCACCTGCTCTTGGTCTCTGTGCTCTCTTCCTGGGCATGCCTGCTCAGGCAGCCCCTCCTTCCCACTTCCAAATCCCCAGCGGGTGTCTCATGGTGAGAGGTGC